GCAAAGCAGGTGACACTTGTGCTTGAGCCACTCCTCCAGTCCATTTTGCTCCGGTTATTTTGGAGATGGGGTCTCTTGAACTATTTGTCCCAGCTGGTTTCAAACCACAATCCTCTGATCTCAGCCTCCCAAGCAGCTGAGATTACAGGCGTGACCACCAGTGCCTGGCTTCCAGAGTCTTTTTTTTTTTTAAATACTTGTGATCCTTGTCTGTTTGAATCCATGGATGCAGAGCCCACGTGTCTGGAGCGCCAGCTGTGTGCTCACGGATCTGTTCTATGCTGTAAAGATGAAAACCATGCGTGGAAATGATAAACACGATGACACTCAGGATGCCGACTGTGTCAGAGAGAGGTGGGTAGACAGCCATGATAGGGATGATAAAATACAGGTGGGAAGTGGATTTACAAAGACAGAGATAGATGTTACGTGACTAGAAAGACACAGAGAGGAAGACTGATTGATGGAAACACAGATGGGGTGGTAGACGATCGATAGGTAACGGATGGATGATAGCCAGAGATAAAGATGACGCATGTGAGAGCCCAGATGATAAATACACCCGCAGACAGATAGAGGGGTGATCAATAGATAGAAAACAGGTGATAGGTAGGTTAGACAATAGATGGAAAGAGAGAGCTGGGTTTGGTGGCACACACCTGTAATCCCAGCCCTTAGAAGGCTGAAGCAGGAGGGCAGTGAGTTCGAGGTCAGACTGGGCAACATTGTGTGTCCCATGCTCCTCCACCCCCCAGGTCAGCCTCTTTAAAAATCACATCTCAAAAAACAAATAAGGGGCCAGGCACCGTGGCTCACACCTGTAATCCCAGCTGCTCAGGAGGCAAAGATCAGGAGGATCGAGGCTCAAAGCCAGCCTGGGCAAATAGATCTCAAAACCCTATCTTGAAAAACCCTTCACACACACACAAAAGAACTGGTGGAGTGGCTCAAAGCGAAGACCCTGAGTTCAAGCTCAGTACTGCAAAAACAACAGCAGCAGCAAAAACAAACAAACAAAAACCACAAAAACAAGGACCGCAGGTGTGGCTTCAGTGCTAGAGCACCCGCTTTGGGAAACCCTGAGTTGAAAACCAGTCCCAGCAGAAGCAAAGAAACAAAAGAAACTCACACAAAAGAAAACAAGTGGAAAGGGAAGATAGGCGAAGTAGCTAGGTATATGATGGACAGACTGAACCCGGATGGATGGACGGATGGGTGGATGGGTGGGTGGATGGATGGATGGATGGATGGGTGGATGGATGGATGGAGGGTGGGTGGGTGGGTGGATGGGGGATGATGGACGGATGGGTGGATGGGTGGGTGGATGGACGGGTGGACGGATGGATGGACGGGTGGGTGGACGGGTGGATGGATGGGTGGGTGGATGGATGGGTGGGTGGGTGGGTGGGTGGATGGATGGGTGGTGGATGGGTGGGTGGATGGGTGGGTGGGTGGGTGGATGGGTGGGTGGGTGGATGGGTGGGTGGGTGGGTGGATGGGTGGGTGGACGGGTGGATGGGTGGGTGGATGGGTGGATGGATGGATGGGTGGGTGGGTGGATGGGTGGATGGGTGGGTGGATGGGTGGATGGATGGGTGGATGGGTGGATGGATGGATGGGTGGATGGTGGATGGTGGGTGGATGGGTGGGTGGGTGGATGGGTGGGTGGATTGGGTGGATGGATGGATGGTGGGATGGATGGATGGGTGGATGGTGGATGGGTGGGTGATGGTGGATGGGTGGGTGGATGGTGGTGGTGGGTGGATGGATGGATGGGTGGATGGATGGGTGGATGGGTGGGTGGATGGATGGATGGATGGATGGGGGATGGTGGATGGTGGATGGTGGGTGGATGGGTGGGTGGGTGGGTGGATGGGTGGATGGATGGTAGGGGGAGAAACAGAGAGGGAGGGAGGGAGTGGGGGAGAGAGAAGAGAAGGAGGAGGAAGGGAGGGAGAGAAAAGGGAGGGAGAAAAAGAGAGAGAGAGATAATAGGGGAGTGGGGAAAAGAGAGAGAGGGTGGAGAGAGAGAGAGAGGAGACAGAGAGAGAGAGAGAAGTGGGGAGAGATCTGGACATGAAAGTGGGCTCAGCTCTACCTGACTTTTTCCCCTCTCCTGGGGTGACAAGACAAGCCTGGTTCGGCCAGCCCTGGGTAGGTCCCTGGTGTCTTATTAAGACATCGGCTAATTGTCCCTGCAGGGCCTGCGTCTCATCAGAGGGAGCCACGGGGGGCTTTTCCCCTGCTGAGCCCCTCTGTGGGGACCTGCTGTGGAGCATGACCGGGTGCAGTCTTGCTCTGGGTGCCAGTGGCTGTGCACTGCTGGGAACAATCGCTGGTGAGGCACAATTTCCGTGTGTGTGCGTGTTGTCACCCATGTGTCCCCTTCTCATTGCATTCCCATGAATGGTGCCCTTTGAAATACTCCATGCAGTGCACAACTTGCCCCACGTCCCTAGCAGCCATTCTCTGGGAAGGTCTTGCTTGTCCCACTTTGACAACTGCTGCGGATGCAGTCCAATAGCACAGCAGCCTTCACGACCTCACTGGTCCCCTCTACAGCCACTGCCCACCTCCACTCCATCCTAAAGCCAAGGCCCCAGGGCCTTTGCACAGGTGGCCCTCTGCAGGGAACAGGCTCACCCTTTCTGCTCTCCATGTTGTCTGTGCCTGTGATCTCAGCACTCTGGAGGATGCAGAGGATTAAGAGTTCGAGGCCAGCCTGGGCTACATAGGAGGGACTGTCTTGAAAGAAAAACCCATTTACTGGGTGCCAGTGACGCCTGTAATTCTAGGTACTTGGGAGGCTGAGATCAGGAGGATCGTGGTTTGAGGTCAGCCCGGGCAAATAGTTCACGAGACTCCCCATCTCCAAAATAACCAGAGCAAAATGAACTGGAGGGAGGGGTGGCTCAAGTGGTAGAGAGCCTGCTTGACAAGCAGGAAGCTGTGAGTTCAAATCCCAGTCTCCCCCACCCCACAAAAAATAATTAAAAATTAGAAAGGAGTGTTATATTTTAGCTTCTGAAATTATTTAGATGGCATGGAAACTCACTTCTTTTGGCTCTGCAGGAATTCTTGCCAACAGAAGTCAGCTAGCTGGTAAATCACGGCCCATGTGGCCAGGGATGAATGCAGATGACAGCAGGCGAGCCCAGCGTGTCTCACACGGTTTGGGTTCCGATTCGTAGCTGAGTTTGGAGCCACCCTGCGAGTGTAGACCACGTCAGGGGCTCGGGCTCCGCTGCAGCACCGGGCTGCGGGATGGCGGGGCGCCGTCGCCCCCTGGCGGCCGCGGCGGGAAGCGCACCCAGCCCAGCGAGGACTTCCAGGGGCTTCAGGGATGTGACCTGGGCCTGCACCCCCAGACCCCAGGACAGCCCTGCACGCCCGCCGGGCCGGGCTTTCCTTCGCTCTTCTTCCTTCTCTTTTCCCTTTCCTCCCTCCCTTTTTCTTTCTCCCTTTCATTCTCTCCCTCTCTTCTTTTTTGGTACTGGGGCTTGAACTCAGGGCCCTCACCTTGAGCCACTCCACCAGCCCTATTTCTGTGATGAGTTTTTTCGAGATAGGGTCTTGGGAACTCTTTGCTGGAGCTGGCTTCGAACCTCGATCCTCCTGATTGCTGCCTCCTGAGTAGCTAGGATTACAGATGTGAGCCACTGGCACCCAGCAAAAGGATTTTTTTTTTTTTTTTGAGAAAGTGTTCCTATTTAGCCCAGGCTGGCTTAGAACTTGTGATCATGTGCCTCCACCTCCCACGTGCTGGGATCTCAGCCATAGAAAGTGTACAGACAGCGATGTGCAAGGAATCATCAGGGATGTTCCCAACAGAGAGCCACATATGCTAAGGCCCTGAGTCCCGCTCTCCCTCCCTCTCCCCCCTCTCCCCCCTTCCTCCCTCCCTCCTTCCTTCCTTCCTTCCTTCTTCTCTCCCTCCCATCCTCCCTTTTTCTCTTTCTTCCTTTCTTTCTCCCTGGATCCTCTTTCTTTTCTAGACTTCAAAGGCTGGACCCTGGGCTTTTCTCTCTTGGTGCAGAGCTGTGTCAGAATGGGGCGTGAGTCAGGCAGTGATTATGGCTGCCTTGACTCATTTTTCTATTCCTAGTAACACGCTACCATGGATGGGGCAAGTTATGAAGAAAAGAGGTTTATTTTGGTTCATGGTTCTGGAGGCCAATGGCTGAGAGGCAAGTGATAGTGGTGGATTTTGCCTCCTCCTCCTGTGGAGGTGCAGGATTTCAACTCAGGGCCTTGCACTTGCTAGGCAAGGTCTCTCTGCCACTAGAGCATCTGATCAGTTTTCTTTTCAGATAGGTTCTTGTGCTTTTCCTGTGCCAGCCTCGTATCATTATCCTCCTACTTATGCCTCCTGTGAAGCTGGGTTATAGGTATGTACCACCATGTCTGGCTTGCTTATTGAGATTGTGTCTTGCTGAATTTTCCCCCAGAATGGCCTCACACTCTCCGCCTGGGATTACAGGTGTGAGCCACTGTGCCTATCCTGGTGGCCACCTTCTTGCTGGCAGAGTCCCTTGGTGGTGCAGGACATCACAAGATGACAGATAGGGAGCAAACCTACATGTACCATCTGGTCATTCTTCTTTTTCTTATAAGCCCATCACTATTAAGTCATGGGGCTGCACCCTGGTGACCCTATACCATCCTAATCACCTCCCAAAGGCCCCGCGCTCAAATACTACAGTCAGATCAATCTCTCATTAAAACCTCACAGTGGGAATTAAACTCCAACCTGAGTTTCAAATCATCACAGCAGTGGCCAAGCTGAGATCCATGTCTGCTACTGGGTTAGTGTTTTTGCAGTAGGTAAAAAGCCTTCCTTTTGTTGAAGAGACTGAGGTACTGTTTGCATTTTCTACAAATCCACCAGCCACTCTGGGAGGAGGAAGGAGGCTGCAAGCACTTGTAAGTGGCAAGTGTTCTATCAAACGAAAAGTGTCAACCGTAAGGGAACCTCCTAGGAAAACCAGCGTCCCAGGATATCATCTCTTGGGTCTGAAGCCAGCCCTGCTAAGGACACTGGTGACAGCCACTCGAACGTCCCTGTTCCTTAAGCTGTAGATGAGTGGGTTGAGCATGGGGGTGACCAGGCTGTAGAAGAGAGAGGCCGCGCTGTCCTGGGGTGGGCTGTGGTAGGTGCCAGGCACCATGTACACGAACACAGCTGCCCCATAGAAGAGCCCCACGACGGTGACATGTGAGGAGCAGGTGGTGAAGGCCTTGTGCCGGGCCTCAGCCGAGCGCAAGCGGACGACGGTGGCCAGTACGAGGCCATAGGAAGTGACAATGAGTGAGACGGGCAGCAGCAGAATCAGCACCCCCGAGATGGACAGCGACATCTCGAAGACCCTGGTGTCTGCACAGGCCAGCTTGAGCAGGGCGGGCAGCTCGCAGAAGAAGTGCTCCACGGTGTGGGAGGCACAGAAGGGGAAGTGCAGGGTGACCGAGGTCTGCACGGAGGCCACAAGCACCCCTGAGCCCCAGCAGGTGGCCACCATGAGCACACACACCTGGCGTCTCATAAGCATGGGGTAATGCAGCGGGTGGCACACGGCTACATAGTGGTCGTAAGACATCAGGGACAGCAGGATGCCCTCTGAGACGCCCATAAGCATCAGGATGAACATCTGTGCTGCGCAGCCCCCGAAAGAGATGGAATTTTCTCCCTGCAGGATGCCGGCTGCCACCTTGGGGATGGTGACCAGAGGGAACCCAATGTCCAGCAGGGAGAGCTGGCTGAGCAGGAAGTACATGGGCGTGTGCAGCCTGCACTCCATGAGGATCAGGAAGAGGAGGCTGGTGTTGCCCAGCAGGCCCACAGTGAGCATGGCTGCCACCAGGAAGAAGAGGGCCAGGTGTGGCCCTGTGTGGCCAAGCAGCCCCATGAGAATAAAGTCTGAGGTCACCGACTGATTTGACATCCCCATCCTCCAGGACATGTCAGTGGCCTGTAGGAAGGACAGGGCATTGGCAGAGGGTCTTGGGGACAGGGGACTTCATATCCCAGCCAAGTGCCACTATTGGATAGTGCCACCACAAGTCTTCTGAGAAAGGTGACAGTTAATCCAGGCTCAGTAGGAAGAAGTCACAATTGATCACTGCATCTGCTGTGGTCAGGGAGGAGGAATGCATGGCCATGCATGCTTTTGCCTGTCTGAGCAGAAGTCCTGACATTAAGCTCCAGACAAGCAGGAGCCTCCAACACTTGCTGTGAAGCTGTCTGTCCCCAAGCTAGAGCATGAGACAGCCACCCCACATCGTGCGCCTGAGGCCGAGGCAGAGGTGGGATTCTGAGTAGAGGTAGGGAGACCTGACCCAAGATGATAGGGGATGATGACATTGGATCAGAGAATCAATCTAGGATCAGAGGTGTGGCACAAGCAGTAGGCCCCGAGTTCAAATCCCAGTACCACCAAAAACAAACAAACAAAAAACCCCAAAAACCCACTAATCCAAAACTATGAGAAAGGCTTGCTTCCAAATTCTTGGAAGAAGAGGAGGTTCAAAGTTTGAGAAGAGTCAGAAGCAGGATATTTGGGATGTGAATCCAAGGTGTTTAACCTGTAAAGGGACATAGGAGTGATCGGGTTGGAACCAAACATCCCAGAGTACACCAGCCCCCCTCCCTCTGCTTCCTCCCTCCTTCCCTTCCTCCGTGATTTTTTTTTCCTTTTATTTATATGTGCATACAATGTTTGGGTCATTTCTTCCCCCTTCCCCCCGCCCCTCCCTTTTCCCCCCACCCCTTTCCCTGATTTCTTTTTTTCTGCAGTGCTGGGGACAGAGCCCATGGCCATGGGCATCCTAGAACATGCTATACCTCCAGTCCTTTCAGATACTTTATGGCCAGCTCCAAGACAAAGGTGGAGAAAAGATGAAAGTTTCTATGACTTGCTTTGGGGAAGAGAAATTCTAGTTTCTATGGCCTGCTTTGGGGAGAAAGTTACAGGCCAGAAACCATGGGCCCAAAAAAATATACTATGACATCATGGGAGAACTCTGAAGGTAGGACTGTTTTCTAGGAAGACAGAGAAAGGAATGTCATCTCAAGGACAAGGTAGGATTCATTTGGCTTGTTTGACACACCGTTAAGACAATACATTCTGGGTTTAGACAGAGCCCAACTTAACCACATCCCCGCCTTGCGCAACAAAGGTGAGTCTCTTTCTGGGACTCGGTTTACCCAGCTATATGTGGGAATAAACAATACTTTTCTCACAACAGTTGAGGGTTAAATAAATTAAAGGGCTTAATTTTTTTTTTTTTGAGACAGGATCTCACTGTAGTGCAGGCTGGCCTTGAACTTGCAATCCTCCTGAGTGCCCTGCCATACCCAGCAAAAGTGCTTAATTTCTTAAGATCATAGCTATTATTTATATTGGGAAGGAAATGCAAACACTGAAAAGATGGACTTGGGCTGGAGTGCAGCTCAGTGTTGAATGCTTGCTTACCATGCACGAGGCCTTGGGTTCCATCCTCAGAACCCGGAAAAAAAAGCAACCCTCAACTGCCTTCCCGTAGTAGGGTGATATAAACTTGGTGCTTAGCTCAGTGACGGCACATAATAAAACAACTGACTGCACCCTCGCTCTTTCTGTTCACAGTATGCAGCATGGTTTACTCAGTTACATGACAAAAGTTGACTGATTCTAGCTCATTGTCTGCCACATGACAGTTCTTACCCTAAGTCAGTGACGGCAAGCAGAGGTGATTTTTGTCCTCTCCCCCTCCCAGGGGATATTGGTAATATCTAGAGACACTCCTGGGTGTTCGGGTGTTGTGATCAGGGTGGGCTTACTGGCAGTGATTGACAGAGGCCAGGGATGCTGCTCTCGTAATCTGTTGCTATGACAACTACCCTGCTCCACATCAACACAGAGAGTGGTCCTCACCACAGAGGTTTAACTGAGCTCAAGTGTGGTGCTGGTGGCTCACGCCTGTAATCCCAGCTACTTGGGAAGATGAGATGGGGAGGATCGCAGTTCAAGGCCAGCCCAGGCAAACAGTTCTTGAGACCCCCCCCATCTCCAAAAGAACCAGTAAAACGGACTGGAGTAAAGTGGCTCAAGTGGTAGAGTGCCTGCTTTGCAAGTACAAATGCTGAGTTCAGACCTCACTCCCACAAATAAATCAATAAATAAATAAACAAGAGAAAAGGACACAGAGAGAAAGAAAGAGGCCATTTAAAGATACTGGGTTGCTGTGTCAACGAGCCAGGGACATCTAGAGCCACCAGACCCTGGGAGGGAGGTGTGGGAGGACTCCTCCCAGGTAACCAGGAAGGAATAAATTCTGACAGTACATTGATTTGGACTTGTGACTTTCAGAATTGAGAGGACAAAATTTCTGTTGTTTTAATCGTTTGTGATTTTTTTGGCAGCACTGGGACTGAACTCAGGGCCTTACACTTGCTAAGCAGGCGCTCTACCACTTGAACCCTTCACCAGCCCTGTTTAATCTTCTGTAAGTACTGCTTTGTCTGCAGTGCTCTTGCTGGCATGTGGAAGTGAGCGCACTAGCCAGGGCCACCTACTAGTGGTAGCATCAACTTCCAGACAAGAGTTAGTGTGGTCGTCCCTTGATGTCACACTCCTGGTACCAACACTGTGATTCAGGGTCCTCTAGGACCTGCTTCCCCAAACGAGACCTCAGCAATCCTTTTCCAGTCCTGTAACATTTACCACTTATGTGCAATGACAGTCTTTCTCCTTGTCCTGGGGCAGAAGCCACCTCACCAGATGTGGGATTGGCATCCCTGGAGAGCTCACCTGCTCTGGCATTGGGTCTTTTCAGCTGATGCCCACTGTCTGACCAACAGTCCTCAACTCTCCATCTTCAGAAGATGCTATGCAGGTGCACTTCTTCCAAGGAGTGCAGATTGTCCCCAACACCAAGTGAGTGACCCTGGACATTGGATCCTCTGCCTTGTAGAAAATCACTGGGGACCTCCTCAATGTCTTCTTGGTAACAGACTTGCAAGCTCCCTGCTGTGGTCCCCTGACCTCATTTTTCCTCGTGGAGTTGTTGGGAGGTCCCTAGGCTAAAGATGTGTCTGTAAAAAAAACAAAACAAAACAAAACTGCACAAGTCCACTAGCTTCTTCTCCATGGATATTATCTCTTTCCATTACTGTGGGCTTTGGGCACATTGTTTTAGGGTCCCACTAAACCTACTTCTGCCACCTTGCTTCAGGGTAGACCTGGGCAGATAATCTTGCTCTGAATCAAAGGCCTGGTGCCTTAGGATGAAGAATCTTGGCTACAGTGTTTTTGAATTGACTTTAACAACACATCTCCACTTGAGCCATGCCACCAGCCCTAACATTTCCTTCTCAAATCTCCCTCTTTGCTGTTTGTATTTAAGGTCTCATGCCTTTGGCTGAGAATGACAGAGAAGCAGCAGTGAGGTTTTTTGGCTCCTTGCTGCTCCAAAAATATCTTCCATCAATGACAGGACCCTTTCTCCACTGGACACAGAAGACCCAGTGGCTCACATCTGTAATCCTAACCACTTGGGAGGCTGAGATCAGGAGGACCATGACTTGAGGCCCGCCCAGGAAAATAATTCACGAGACCCTCATCTCCAAATAATTAGAGCAAAATGAACTGGAGGTGTAGCTCAAGCAGTAGAGTGCCTGCTTTGCAAAACCAAAGCCCTGAGTTCAAATCCCTGTTCTGCCAAAAAAATTATGATGGGAAAAAGATCACTCTAGCCAACCTGAAGTAGAAGTGTTTTTGAAACAAACCAAGCAGAAAATGTAATTTTAAATACTAGTGGTTTTGAAGGATGGACTGCAGGAGGCCAAGGAGACACTTCTCCTTCCCAGGAAACACCCATCTGCATCTGAAAGGCATCTCTGCCCTCAGGCAATACACAAAAAAGGTATAAAATCCAATCCCCACCCTGACCCACTGGATTATCACTTTCTAGGTCCCCCTGCATGCCCCACCATGCAGTCTTTCTTTTCTCTTCTCTACACATAAAACCTTTCCGACCTCTGCTGCTGGAGTCTGCCTGTGCTTTCATTCTCAGAGCAGGCTCAAGAACCCCAGGCACCTGAAATTCCTGTGCGTGTCATCTGCTCATCATATTTGGCAAAGCACGAAGGGATAAGCCTTCACCTGAGGTCGGTATAGGTTGTGCCAAACTGGGAAAGGCTGCCTAGGAATGTGACCATGACCATCCGGCACTCCGATGGAGTCTGTTCTCCAGGACAGCCCCCACCACAGCCTAGCTACAGTGGGCCTCTCAGGCTGGCCTTCTCTCTCTCTCTCTCTCTCTCTCTCTCATTAAGGAGGGGTTCTCCCTTGGGAAACAAGAAAAGCTCTGAGCCCATTACAGCTGTAAGGCAGGCAATCTGAGGGAACTCAGGGGGTGGCTGGGGGCTTATACTGGATTGCCAGTGCTACATGGGTGGAGCCAGACTTCAGTGCACCAAGGCTTTTTTCCCTCTCAACTCTCCTTAAACTCTCTCTTTCAAGATCTAACCTGCTTAGGACGAGGTCTGAAAACAGCCAGCGGAAAGGAAAGTTTCTCTTCAAGCTATAAAGGTGTTCTGGCCAGGGCACTTCCCAGTGTCAGCCAAAGGCTGGAGATGCAACTTTCTGACCCGCCCTGAGGCTCCAAAGGCAGCTAAGTCTCACACCCCTCCAGCCATGTCCATGGCAAATGGAAAATCAGATCTCTTACTCTTCCTTTATGGTTTCTGTGGCTTGAGAGTGGAGGTCACCTCTTGCTTCCAGTGCTCCAGTACTGCCTTGGGCAGTGGTGATCAACAATCCCTCATGCATTGAGCCTGGAAACTCTCTTTTCCTCCATTCCTCAGCTTCTCCTTCCTTTTTCCCAAGTAGTTCAGGATGAGTGTCCCCCTCCCCTCTTTGCTGTAAACAGCAGTGGGCTTCCTTTTTTAGGGAGTTTGGGATAAATC